GTAGACGGCCGCCATTACAGATGAACGTGTTTGTTGTTGTTCCAGGAGCGGCTCGGTCACACGCTAATGTCATTAGTTCGCTATCATTACTAAAAGGTGCAGGACTGCTTTCCCCTCCATTTTTTTTCACATCATGTCTCCTGCTTGGGTCTGTTACTATCTCGCTCTGAAGCACGGAGGAGTGTCAGAGGTGAGCTCATTTCAATGGCTTTTTACGACACAGTCTCATTTCTGGACTGAATGAAGCTGATATTTCAGTTAAAATACACAAGTAAAAATATTTAATCCATGTAAAATACTACCCCCCAACTTTATGGATGATTTTATGGATTAAATTTTATGTATAATACTTGAATAAATACGGTAGTTTCTTTGCTGTACAGYACATTAACAATAAAAAATGAGCTTTGACTCACCAATTTCAGTGGAGTTGCACTCCCTAGTTAAAGTTTTGCATTTTGTCTCTGTTGGTGTCTTTGGACGGAGACCTTTGGTGAGCAGAGGGTCATTTCCTTTAAAGGGAACACATGTTTATCTTTAGTCGCATTGATTACTGCAACAGTGCCTTCACAGGTCTGCCTTAAACATCCATCGGACAGCTGCAGCTGATCCAGAACGCTGCTGCTSACGTTTTGACTAAAACCAGGAAGACAGAGCACCTCACCCCAGCTCTAAAGTCCTTACACTGGCTCCCTGTAACTCATAGAATAGACTTTAAAATATTGTTATTAGTTTATAAATCGCTTAACGGCTTTGCACCACAACACATTAAAGATCTGCTGCAGCCTTCCAGACCTCTCAGGTCTTCTGGTTCTGGTCTGCTCTGCATCCCCAGAACCAGAACCAAACATGGAGAAGCAGCTTTCAGCTTCTATGCACTGCAAATCTGGAACAAACTCCCAGAAAATCGAAAAACAGCCGAAACTCTGATCCTTTAAATCGAGAATGAAAACCCACCTGTTTAGAGTTGCTCATGAAACACAATAAATGAAACATTAATCAACATTTTGATGTGTAATGATGACACCTGACAAACTGTAATGCTTCAATTGTTAACTGTGTTCTATGACTTTGTATTTTTTGTTTTTATGATGTAAAGCACTTTGAACTGCCTTGTTGCTGAAATGTGCTATTTAAATAAACTTGATTGATTGATTGATTTATCATGCAAAATCCACTTTTTAAGCTGTTAAATGCATTTTGTTGTGTACTCAGAGTCTCTAGGAGGCAGAAAAGTTGAATTAGTCTCTCCTGGTGATTTATATTCTAATTGGGTCATATTTTACAACCTGATCAGTTTTCTATATAATCTATAATGTTTTCTGAACTATTATTTGCAACCAAACTGCCTAATAAGATCTGTACTTACCAACTACAGTTTGATGGTCTTCATTCTCCTCTGGATCTGGGTCAGACTCTGGCTCCAATAAGGATGGATAAGTCTTCTTCTTCTTCTTCTTCCTTCTTCTTCTTCTTCTTCTTCTTCTTCTTGTGTGTTGTTTTATGACGGTTGGCAAACAACGGAAGGTGTGCATTACCGCCACCTACTGATATGGAG